AGAGATTTCTATCGTCAGTTTACACTAACTGAGTTAAGATTAGCGATTAGCTAAGTTTGTAGGGCAGATACATCATAATCTTTAGAGCTATTGTCGCTCTACACAACCTATGAGCTTTGCCAACCACTTTGCATGTCTCTGCCACCGACAACAGGTGAACTGGTTGAACCGCCAAGGCAGGTCCCCATGTGAAGAATCTGCAGTATCAGTAGTTTCCAAGTGGAGCCAAAGGAGACATCAAAGTCACACAAGACACCCAGAGTGCATTCAAACAAGAAACCAAACAAGAAACTGAACAGCTGTTCCTTTGTTCGGCTATCGCGAGCTTTCCTTTGTACAGCTGTTGCCTTGCCCATCAGCTCCTTGGGTCGGCCGACCTGCCAGGTTTTTTTGGCAAACAAAAAGTTGACGAAGACGCCTTGGAGATGCTGGGGACTCTGCCCGATGATCGCGCCATGGTCAGGGTGCCCAGGATCCATCCATCCGTCCGTCCGTCCATCAATCCATCCATCTATTTTTCTACCCATATTATCTACTATTATCTACTATTATCTACTATTATCTACCATTATCTACTATTATCTACTATTATCTACCATTATCTACCATTATCTACAATTATCTACCATTATCTACCATTACCTACCTACCTACCTACCTACCTACCTCCCCACCTACCTACCCACCCTATGTAGTGATTTTCACTGATTAGATCAAGATCGGAGAAACCCACCATTTCATGATTCAAAGCAAGATGCGCATGTTCAAACACTGTGAAACCCTTAGTCTTACCGTATGTTATTTTACCCGCGGCAATGTCATGTGATCTGCTGCTTACAGTCATAATTATCACAATTGTGGTTTTCATTGGCGGATTATTCGTTGCTTGGTCCCCATCTTCAAAGTGTTTTGACATTGGTATTTGCTGAATATGCCTCCGATTACAGTGAGTGCTGATGTCAGCCTGCAAAATGAGGCACATCGTAAATGTGTCCGCAATGTTTTACTTAGTTTTACTGGCTTTGATACACCTCTCGTAAACAAATTCTGTTGCTTGTTTCAAACTGAGATAGGAAACGAAAACGGTTCTGGTTTTGCAGTAGAGCAACGTTGTCCACTCTGATCTGCCGAAACCTGAATCATAATGTAACCCGCGCATCTTGCTCCACTTGCCTCAGATTCAATCAGGTAGAGTTATATAAGAATTATTCTGCTTGGGCTAAAGACGAAGCTGGGTCGATTTGAAATGCACCCACCTTTGTTTGTTTTGATACTTCGTATGGCTGAACGGATAAAGTCCGATTCCGAAACCATATTTCGACGCTTCCGCAACCAAATTTCGGCGATTCCGCAACCAAAATCAGACACGCTTCCGCAACCAAAAAAAGGCGCTTCCGCAACCAAAAAAGAACCGATTCCGCAACCAAAAATAACCGATTCCGCAACCAAAAAAAGACGATTCCGCAACCAAAAAAAGGCGATTCCGCAACCAAAACAAGAGGATTTCGCAACCAAAAAAAGGCCATTCACCAACCACCATCCGCATGACTCAGAAACCAACATCCGCGTCACAATTGCGGCCACAGTCAACATAGCATCGTCTCCAGATGCCGGGGGGGGTGGGGTGGGGTGGGGTGGGGTGGGATAATAACGTCCTGGCAGCTGCGTTCCTTCCTCTGACACACTTGCGGCCACACTCAACATGGCATCGTCTCCAGATGCGGGGGGGTGGGGTGGGGTGGGGTGAGATAATAACGTCCTGGCAGCTGCGTTCCTTCCTCTGACACACTTGCAGCCACACTCAACATGGCATCGTCTCCAGATGCGGGGTAGTGGGGTGGGGTGGGATAATAACGTCCTGGCAGCTGCGTTCCTTCCTCTGACACACTTGCGGCCATGGCATCGTTTCCAGATGAAGAGACAATATAATATAATGTTCCAGTGCATGGAGACAGGCTCTCAAGAGATCACGCCGTCCACGGCTGTTCTAGGCAGGTGGTCACGGGCAGGCTCACCCTTGTCTTTATAGTAGACCTTTATAGCTTCTTCCCTCTTTCGAAACTTCTGTCACATAACTAACTAACTTAAATAACAAAATTAACTAACTTGACTAACTTAACTAACCTAACTATCTTAACTAACATACCTACCTTAACTAACTTAACTAACTTAACTAACAAACTAACTAAGTAACTAAGGTAACTTAACTAATTATCTTAAATAACTTAATTCACGCAAACCACTTAACTAACTTAACTAGTTTTACTAACGTAACCGACTGATCTAACGGAACTAACCCAACTAACTTAACTAGCTAGCCAACTCAACTACATTAAGTATCTAGCTAACTTAACTAACTTAACTCACTTAACCGACCAACTAACTAAGTAACTCGTCTCATCTTAGCTGACTTAATTAACTAACGTAACTAATTTAACTAACTTAACTAACTTGATTAACGAAAGTAACTGAACTAATTTAACTAACTAGATAGATAGATGGATAGACAGATGGATAGATAGATAGATAGATAGATAGACAGATAGCCAGATAGCTAGAGAGCTAGAGAGCTAGAGAGATAGAGAGCTAGAGATCTAGATAGCTAGATAGATAGATGGACAGATAGATTGATAGAGAGATAGATAGATTGCTAGATGGCTCGAGAGCTAGATAGCTAGATATATAGATAGGTAGATGGACAGATAGATAGCCCGCCTGTGGATCCATCAGTGTGTTCGCTCTGCCATCCATGCTTCTCAACAACCAACCTGTCCTACAGGTTTCCTATTGTGCAACTTCCGCCTTGATGCTTCGAAAAGAAAAGAAATGCACACCGCTTGATTGCTGAGCCGTGCCATTTTTGGTTTCCAGGTGTCCTTGGTTTCGGAATCATCCTTGGTTTCAGAATCATTTTTTGGTTTCAGAATCATTCTTGGTTGCAGAATCATCGGTTTTGGTTTCAGAATCATCCGGTTTTGGTTGCAGAATCATCCTTGGTTTCAGAATCATTCCTCATCCAGGCTGAACTGTGTTTTGAATCCCACTTTGCTCTTGAGTCCGTCTTGGAGAACTTGGAGCAAAAGGCAGAGAATGGTGACATTTGGAACCCCAACTCGCGACTTGGTTGTGATTCTATTGGCTGCCTGCAACACTGCAACCTCAAGAGTGAGTCATGCAAAGAGACATCTACCATAATCGTCCATAATCTACCCATGTCCAGTACAGTCAATCAAATACCGGGCGTTGCAGACCTTGAGAAGTTTGGAAGAGAGTAACGTGTCTCAGCAACCGTGTATGTGACGTGTCATGGCCTTACGCCTGCTGCGAGGTATGTTGTCAAGGCCGTGATCCGTCACAGCACCCAAATGAATTCTGCGGGCCCTCCTTCCAGCTACAGTGCAAATTCAGGTGCGGGACAAGCTGCGAATCATGCAGCGGCCGTGCAACTTGCTTCATAGTGTTTGGAAAGACAGTAATTCGCACATCCCAGGACACACACACACAAAGACGAGCAGATTTGACCATTTTGATGTGGTCGTGGGAGGAACATGAGTGAATAATGGTGAGTAAAGGTTTGAAGCAACAGCTATGAGTTTCAAAAACATATTTAAGGGGCTGACGCCCAACAGCGGGGCAGCAGGCCAAAAGGTGCAGGGTGGGGTGGTGGCAGAGTCATGGTTGCCGCTGCTGCTGCTGGGTGCTGCTGCTGCGGGTGGTGCTGTTGTCATTGTCACTGCCGCTGCTGCCGGTGCTGCTGCCGGTGCTGCTGCGTCCGGCTGCTTGCGTCGCTGGTGTTGTTGTTGTTGTTTTTGTTGGTGGCTGTTGTTTGTTGTTTGTTGTTTGTTGTTTGTTGTTTGTTGTTTGTTGTTTGTTGTTTGTTGTTTGTTGTTTGTTGTGTTGTTGTTGTTGTTGTTGTTGTCGTCGTCGTCGTCGTCGTCGTTGTTGTTGTTGTTGTTGGGGGGTCTAGATATCTATTGGCAAACTAGATAGAGATCTGGAGAGATAAGCATGTACGGAGACATCCACATGCATCTATATATGTGCATACACATGTATTTGTGTATATATATATAATTATATATATATATATATACGGCCGGCTGACTTTGGTCAATGTTTCCTGGGGGTCTAGCTATCTATTGGCAAACTATAGATAGAGACATGGAGAGATAAGCACGTCGGGAGACACCCGCAGTTACTAATATTTATGTTTACATGTGTAGACATAAATATAAATATCTATATCTATATCTATATCTCTCTCTCTATATATATATATATACATACACATATACATATGGCACGGTTGGTATAAACCTTAGTGACAAAGTGTACGGCGGACATAGGGGCCCGAAGTCGAACCTGCGAGGGAGGGCGGTGGACGGGGCCTGCAGGAGCAGTGGAGGAAAGTCCCCAAACCCGTGGTGTCTGGGCCGATGCTCCAGCCAACGCAAAGGCGGACCTTGCGTCGGCCGAACCTCCCATGTGGGCCGTGAAGCAGCAGCTGCAGCAGCGCCAGGGTGGCGGGGTGGCGCCGGAGCCTGTGCGGCGAGTGCAGTTGCTGGAGGAGTTGCAGGCGGAGAAATCGTCAGTGGCAACCTTTCTCGTGTGCTTGGCTAGCTTGCAGGTGCCATGCTTGCAGGCGGATCGGTTGGGGATGGCGCAGGCTCTGATCGCCTTGCATCAAGTGCCAGCTCCCCTGCAGGACTTGTGGGCGCAAAGGACAAGCAAAGGAGCTTCGTGGCATTACACAACGGCACCACGTCACGTAGAGTGGGCAGTGCACCCGTCGGCAGGGCAGCCCGTGGCTGACTTAGCATTAGTCACCTCAGAGCATGACTGGGAATTTTGCAAGGCGACGGTGTATGCCACCGTGGCTGTGCGGTTGGTCTTGGACGCCGTGGAGGCAGCCGTGGCACGTCTGCAGGACGGAGACCGGGACCGCTGCCGTCACCTCACCTGGGTGCACTTCAATGTGGCCGCGGAGGCTGTTGGAGTCACGGCCCGCCTGCTGGTGTCCAAGACGGACCCTCCCCATTTGAAGTATGAGCTGAACCCGGGCAGCGCTCAGGAGCACTACGGCCGAGGGGCCAACCGCCTAACGAAGCGGCAGCATGAGACCGGGGAAGCCGCCGCGCGGGTTCGACGCGTGCCGGGTCCTGGGTGAGGCGTTGCTGCAGCTCAGAGCTAGTCCTCTGGACACCGCGCAGCGGAGCCGAGGCCTCCTCTGGACACCGCGCAGCGGAGCCGAGGAGAGCTACCGGTAGAAAGTTCAGCAGAACAGTTGCTTAATACAAGGAGCGCGAAGGAAAAACAAGTGGCCATGAGAGTTTGCAGGGGGAGTACAGCTGGGTCGTCGTTGGTCGGGTCGTCGCGTCCGTTCTCGCGCGTCGTCGTTTGTCCGGTCGCCGTCGTGCGCTCGGCCAGGCGCTACATCATGTGCTTTGTCAGTCGGTGGGGGCCCGACGGACAACCCCTCCCTGTGTAAGACGGGGGCCGGGAAGTGGGATCTCCCGGCAGGTTCTCTTCGGAGGGGGCTGATCGTCCCGACCCCGTCTAGCGCAGGCGGGATGGGTGCGGGAGAGAAGGGCGGTAGGGCTGCGAGGTTGCTCTGCAGGTGGCTAACCATAGGCCCGTGACACTGCACGGGAAACAGCAGTAGCAGCGGCAAGCCTTGACTGCCGTTTAGCCTTCGGGCGGCATGTTTGCGACTGCCTGGCATATTTTGCTGGCATGTTTGGCCTTCAGGCGGCATGCGTAGACTTCCCGGCAGGTTTGGATGGCACGTTTGGCCTTCAGCGAAGGACGAATCGGGCCCGCGGCCGGCAGCCCATACTGCCAAACGTTGCTTTCTGAACTGCCTAGAAACTAAGACTAGCTCCAAACCTTGACTTTGCCTGCCCTTCTGCACTGCCAACTGCCAGCTTTCTCGTGTCCTCTTGCAGCTGGCTTTCGTCCTGCACAGCTGCAGTGAGGACCCTGTCGAAGCACCAAAACACCATGGCAGCGAAGGACGGATCGGGCCCGCGGCCGGCAGCCCATACTGCCAAACGTTGCTTTCTGAACTGCCTAGAAACTAGCTCCAAACCTTGACTTTGCCTGCGCTTCTGCACTGCTAACTGCCAACTTGCTCGTGTCCTCTTGCAGCTGGCTTTCGTCCTGCACAGCTGCGGTGAGAGGACCCTGTCGCAGCACCAAAACACAATGGCAGCGAAGGACGAATCGGGCCCGCGGCCGGCAGCGCATACTGCCAAACGTTGCTTTCTGAACTGCCTAGAAACTAGCTCCAAACCTTGACTTTGCCTGCCCTTCTGCACTGCCAACTGCCAGCTTGCTCGTGTCCTCTTGCAGCTGGCTTTCGTCCTGCACAGCTGCGGTGAGAGGACCCTGTCGCAGCACCAGAACACCATGGCAGCGAAGGACGGATCGGGCCTGCGGCCGGCAGGCCAGACTGCCAAACGTTGCTTTCTGAACTGGCTAGAAACTAGCTCCAAACCTTGACTTTGCCTGCCCTTCTGCACTGCCATGCTTGCTTCTTGCTCGTGCAGCTCGATTGCTTTCTCCTTTCCGTTTCTTTAAGCTTGCTTACCTTTTTTACTTTTGCGTCGGCACTTTGACACTCGCTGCGTGTGCAACTTGCTGCGTGTAATTGCTTCATCATCTTCTTCTTATTATTCTTCTGCTTCTTGCTTGCTTGCTCCTTGCTCGTGCAGCTTGACTACTTTCTCCTTTCCCTTTTTGACTTGCTAAACATTTTTGCTTCTGCGTCGGCACTTTGAAACTTGCTGCGTGTACGACTTGCTTCTTGCCATTGCTTCATCTTCTTCTTCTTCTTCATCCTTCTTCTTCTTCTGCGTCTTCCATGCTTGCTTCTTGCTCGTGCAGCTTGATTGCTTTCTCCTTGCCGTTTCTTTAAGCTTGCTTACCTTTTTTACTTTTGCGTCGGCACTTTGACACTCGCTGCGTGTGCAACTTGCTGCGTGCAATTGCTTCATCATCTTCTTCTTATTATTCTTCTGCTTCTTGCTTGCTTGCGCCTTGCTCGTGCAGCTTGACTACTTTCTCCTTTCCCTTTTTTTTGACTTGCTAAACATTTTTGCTTCTGCGTCGGCACTTTGAAACTTGCTGCGTGTATGACTTGCTGCGTGTAATTGCTTCTTTGACGCGCTCCCCCTGCTGTCGGCAGGGGTCGGCGGATATAGCATTGGTGATCACAAACAGGTTCCTCAGGGTGATCACATGTATCACATGTAATTACCCGTGGCCACATGGATGGTCTCTGTGTATGAAGTTGGACTTCCACTGAAAAGTTCCACACACGGCAATCCCATGGCAATCCCATGCGCTGCATGAAATCATGGTATGTTTTCTTCGTTTTCAGCTGGCGTCAAGCATGTATTTTTGGGCTGCTTGGATCAACTCTTGAAAGCCCAGACGACACTGGAATGTTGCCTCTAGGACCACCTGCAGCTGTGCCCGTCATGAAGAAGGTGAACTGGTTGAACCGAGAAGGTGGGAATTCGCATTTGGATCATGTGGCGGTTGTGGGACTGACAAGTTGTAGCTCGTCATGTTGACTTCAATGAACTATTGTAGTGATGTGTCTCTGTTCTCTATGCAATGTCCTTTACAGCGCTGCTCCGGTCGTCTCATCCATCTGACAACTGGGTCTGCGTTGCATTCACTGCTTTTGAATCCAAAGGTCCTGGCGTGATCAAGAAAGTTCTGAAAACTGGAATGGCTAGCCGAAACGCCTATTTCTAAGTATCCATGCATTAGAGATATCTATATCATATATATATAGTATATACATGCATAATATCTCTATATATATATATATGTATACACACATACACACACACACACATACATACAATACAATACAATGCAATGCAATACAATACAATACATGACAATACAATACATTACATTACATTACGTTACACTACATTACATTACATTACATTACATACATATGCATAGATAGAAATGGAGAAACGCACGCATTTCCTTCCGTAGAAAACTTAAGCGTATCATGCAAGCTTGGTTCTGTCAGAAAATGGCCAATCTAGCAATGAACTTGGGTTTCGTGCAGGATTTTTCGGAAAGGAGGCTATTGATGAAGATGCCGTGGAAATGCTGGGTTCATTGCCAGTGGATCGTGCTTTGAGCATTTTGACCAACATCGAGGAGACAAGGGGAGCAAGTGTTTTTGCCACAATTTGGTAGCTGCTTTGGCTCACTCAGCCTGAGAAAATGGACACATGAGGAAGGACATATGGAAGGACCAATTTGGTTCAGATTCACTATCGACATCCATTTACTTCATTTTACTTCCACTTTATGCCAATCTTGCCATGGTGCATGTGTAAGATGTGATTCGGTTGGCGGGTGACGGATCTCAGGAGAAGGCGAATGCTGGCGGGATCTGGAATCCAAACAGCTATGTCGCGACTTGGCTGCGGAAAATGATGAAATGTGGATGTGGAGGATGTGGAGCTTTGCAGAATCCTAGGCCAAATGCATGGAATGTTGCCCGAACACACGACAGGGAAAAAGACATTGGCGCCGATTGGGGCAAATAAGTGCTCTTGCAAGTGAGTCTGAAGCTGTTGAGCTGTGTATATGACTTCGTGACCGCGCATCTTTGGGTGGTGACACGGTGAGACCATTTTTGGACGCCTCTGCTGTCCATTATTAGTTCAATTTGTTTGGACACGCGAGTCGCCATTCACAGGGCATCATCCCATCGACTAATGGCCATGTGGGATGAATCATGGTGAATCCGTTCATGTTTGCCACGAGGCTTGAAGAGAAAACACAACTGTTTAACAAGGGGTTGGATAGTTTAATACGCTATTTGTAGGGATTGGAAGTTGCATGAAGTTGCTAAAGATTGTCAGCGCCGTTTTGGCATCACTCTTATGCACTAATCACGAAGGATAGTTTGGTGATGTTTGGTGTTTGGATATGTTTGGATCTGAATTTGTTTCTTCATCATGAAGGTGCTTGTTGGCAATCTGTATATTGCTTTCACAGTCTAAAACTCATGCCTTTCCCAAATTGGTGGTCCAGGTGAAAGCTGTAGTCCGCCACCAGCAACTTGTCGTCGCATGAAGGGTTTGCTCTTGTTTCTTCCCAATCATTTCTACTGCAAAGTTGTGTGCCCGAAATATGCTGGAAAGAGTACAACTTCCGCCCCGCCTCCTGCTGGTACTATTGGTCTTTTATTGACTTTGAATGCTTTTCCTTGGCCCAGTTTTTAGCAGCATGGAAGGAAATCGCTAAGGACCCCAGGCAAAACAGTCATAGGAAATTCCACTGGGCCCATTGAGAGTACCAATTGATGACATCCCATGAATTAACTGTCCCTGACAGTATCCCATAATATGATGGTTGTAGGCCGGAGTTCAGACACCCGTCCTACAATGCCCGCTTTCAAGGACGAGTTTAAAGAATGATCGATGGGGCGACGACAGGTGGGGTGACGACAGGAGACCAATGGTGATTGCGTGGGGTGTGGAAAGGGAATTATTTTTGCCCACGGTCACAACTAGATGATGAATTTACCATGTATTGAACTTGAATCGTTTGGACTTGGCAAAGTCAATATTGCAAACCTTAAGACCCTCAAAATTCAACGCAGCCTTCGACACGAATCAGGGTAAGATTTATATATGACTTGGCCACGACCGTGAAACCACATACATCCACATACATCATGCGACCTGTAAAACATGCTTTTCATGCGTTTTCTTTATGTTTTCCTTTGCGGTAGTTCCTCCACTGCTTGATTTGTCCCTGGAGGAGACAACCGAAGGGTGGCAAGGTGGGTTGAATTCTTGTGGGAAGGGATGGGAAGGGCTAGTGCAACATAGTGCAACCCAACACTTGCCCTCGTTGTTTGAATGGTGCTTCTTGCGGAGTGTTCCTATTCATTGTGATGTCACCTGTCGAGGAACTCTGTTTGGTGTTGCGGACTGATGCAGTTGCAATTGCAGGGCAAAGCTGGAAAAGGCGGCAAAGGAACAGCTTTGGCAATCCGCAGTGGCCCTTCGAAGGGTAAAGGCGGTGGGGCGCGGAAGTCCAAGTTTGGTGACCTGTGCTCTATGCAAGCGTTTCATTCTTCAAATTTTCCAGTTGTTCAGGGTGATGTGAATCAGTGTCAGCCTACTGTTGTGGAAGACAAAGTTGGGACATACTGTCACCTCCTTTCGCTAAGCCTGTGATAACTGAAGCTTTTTGGGCTCTTGCAGACCATGATGGAAATAGGATAGAGATATCCCAGGTCCACAAAGTTCAATGACCAGTGTAGCTTGTGTTCAGGCAAGAGCCGCTACTGACGTGCAAGGCACCTTTTGTGTCAGATGGCTTGAGCGGGTGTGAGTGTTTTTTTTTTGGATTAGGACTCTCAATTTATCCGAAGATGAATGCTTACAAATCCAGCAACGCCATTGAATTATCAAACATCATGCAGACTCATTGCGCAGCATCGTGCGGTTGTGATTTGCATATGCTCCACAGCCATCATTCCAGAGTGCATCGCTTTCTGGAAAAGTCACAGTCCCACAGAGCATTCATCAATATTAATCAATATGAATCATATTAGTCCACTAGAGTCTTAAAGTCCCTAACCATGACTGGATCAATGATCCATTCATCAATGCCAAAATGCTCCCGTAGAGTCACCGCAGCTTCCGGAGCCGGAGATTGCTGGTGCCAGGTTTCAAAGGGCGTGCGTCAGGTTCCGCTATGAGTTGATGGTGCCAGGTTGAAGAGCCAAGCTGGGAAAAACCAAGCCACCGATGGAAAAACAATATGAACACATTGTGTATGCTGTATATATTTATAATATATATATATATATATGATATACGGGCTAGTCATAATGTTATATCTACCTGTATATGATATCTACGGAAATACAACATGATGACTAGCAGCAGGGATATGTTGCTGTGTTTTTTAATAGTTCCTATGGTCTTGAGGACATGTACATGTTATAGACTACTGATGGGTAGGATGTAGGACTAGAAATCCAAAGATCTAGAGCTTGAACATCCTGGAAGTGGAACACCCACTTTCCAAGATCTGAATGATTGCAATCCACTGAAGTGGAACAGTAAGATTGGAATATCATGGAATATATGTATATGTATATATACTGGAATATGTATATATACATGTGCTTTTTTGGCGCTAAGAGATTGATACCAAGCAGGACGCATTGCTACACTGCTGAATCATTTCACAGTCGCTCACTTGCTGAATTCATCAGTCAATCTGGCTTCAACATTCTGACATTTTCACAAAGCAACCTCCAATTTTTTGGCAGTATGATTTCAATTCAATGCAATTTGACAATTGCATGAGAGTTTGACACTTGCATCGGAGTGCTTGGTTATAGCCACCCTCTGGTTCTTCAGAATGTGGAACCGCACTCGAGTTCCATGGCAGTGAGTAGCGTTTCAAGCAAAACAGATGTGAGCGGAAGCCTGAGGTATGCATAGGCATGGTCGTTGGCAACATCACATCATGACTTGCGAAAGGGGCACTGAGTGAAGAGCGTCTCCAAGCACGCAGCTGTATCATGCTGTATCCAAGTCAAAGCTAATGACACAGCTTTGCAAACCTGCTCAGAGTTAGAGTATCGTATAGGAGGGTATTTATAAGCGTGGCCAACAGGTGTCCCATGGCTATCCTTGGTTTGCGATTTGAACAGTTGTTGTTGCTTTGGCGTTCCACAGTAGAAAGCTTCTCGTTCATCTTGTTCCAGAGAAAGCCGATGACATTGCACTTCAGGGTTTAATCGGGAACCCGAGGGCCAATTCCAAGAAACCCAAGCGACCAGGAAGGTACAGTGGAATACTTCCAAGACTCCCCAAACGGACCAGCTCTTTTGGCCCTCTTGGCTAACCCAAGCAGGGGAAGCATGAGCACCATCATCGTCATAGTCCTGTGGCCTTTTCGGGACCTGCGGCCCTTTACCCCAGCCTTCTTCAACAGGCTTTTGCAGTTGAAATTGAAAGATGCTGAGGTCAGCGGCTTGAGCAATGCTTGTGAGAAATCAGGGATGCCGTAAGTATTTCTCAGTCACTGTCAGTACTCACTAACGGAAGAAACTAGAAACCCAATGATAAACCTAAGATTTGGGGATGGCTTATACCACCAATTTATCGTGATTTTGGTGATACTTTATTATTGCGTTTACCTCATGATTGTTTTACATCTTTTCAAGGAGTGCTAAGACAGCCCGTCTTAGAGAAGGTTCAACCTTTTCTGCCGGGGGAGAAACGTGCTTTCATGTGAAGCGGGTCAATCAAAGCACAGAGTTATCGCATGTCTCACAACGTCTCCATGGGTTTGTTGACCCTTCTAAGACTTCAGTGCATTTGCAAGCACATACGTTGGGGGCCTGTCAGGCGGAGTTGCAGGATGCCAAGAGTTGGGAGCCACAGTCCGAAATCTGGGAGCATTGCCGGTTCCAGACGACTTTGCTGTGGTGTTGCTGGAAGCAACTGGCAAAGTCTTCTGGGCACGTGGCACGTGGTCTTCTTTCCTTCAAGAAGGGAGATCAGATCTTGGTGACAAACGGGTTTTCCTCTTTGGCTCATTCTCCTGATTGGCGAGTCTGGGCCACATCCACAATCCAGACATGGATGACATGGATGACACCAGTGACACCAGTGTTGAGCGCTATTGCACCTTCCAGTATGGTAGCAAGCGGCTGATTCAAGGTAGCATCGAAGAGGCAAACCAGACAGCTGGCCTACGTTTCTTGCAGCAGGTGCAGCCCTGCGGAGAGAGCGACAGTGTGCATCCTTTCAGCAAGGAAGTCTAAGTCTAAGTGTAGTGTATAATTCATGCTGGTGACCATACTTGGAGAAGGATAGGTTAGTGAAGTCAACTTGCACGATGTCCAAGTTTGATTGGACATTCTCAGATAAGTAGCTGGATGTTCACGCACTGCAGGGTGGCTCAGAGTCCCCCTTGAGAGAGCAACATGGAACAAGCTCAGCCCGTGTTTCATGTTGCAGCACATTGTGAAGGGAGTTGTACTCGGCGCAGAGGTCTACAACCAGCCATAAAACTCAGAAAATCAATATGGAGGAACAAATGTTGCAACCACAACAACACTGGATGCTTGGTTGCAGCAACAAAATGTTCAGAGCGATCCCGACGCATATTGCCGAAAGATAGCAATGCACCCAGGATATCCATCTATAATGGGTATGTATATATATATATTATATCAGTATATAATCTTTGTACATAGAGGAAGATAATATAGCTTCATTTTCAGAGCACCTCTCGGCCGTCAGCCACATGGTGCCTTCACCTGTCAGTGGGTGCCTGGGCATTGACTGTTCGATCGACATGTTGGTTTCGTCTACTGCTTGGTTGTGTTTGGGATCCATTGAAACATATTGAAACGTAATTTCATGCAGTTGTTTTTCAACTTTCAATACCGGCACGCGGAAGCTGCTGATAATTTCACGGGAGGAGTCCATGATGAACTCTCGACTCAAAGAGTGGAGAATGTCTCGCTCGGGCATGCTCGGGCTCAGACGCAAATGCAAAGCCGCAGTGATAAACTTTCAATCAGAAATTGCGGTAGTGAGGGAAAGGTTTCTATGATTTTCTATGTATTATAGATATATACTAATTCATCCATTATATATATATATATATACATATATATATATATATATATATATGGTACCACCCCCCAAAACCATATTTTCCTATAATTCACTGGTATTTACAGTGTTTTTCCTTGATTTTTTCCTTGGTTTTTTCGAAGCTTTTTGGTTTTTCAAATCCCTTGACACGCTGACAGCTGTTGTACATGCTTTTGTTTGCAGTTGCTGCTGCTATGTGTGCACTGCAGTTTGCCATTTATTGTCATGATCAAGCGGCGCGTTTGGTCAAGCCATTTGCTGCTCCGTGTCAGCTCCTCAATTGTCTGCGAATGATAGGCACCCAGGCACCCCTGCTTCCTCACCTTTCCTCTGCAAACTTTCCGTTGTGGGCGTCACCCTTCTCAGGTGCACTTCTGTGACGATTATGGCAATGGAACGCGGCAACCCTGACCGCATGGAGGTGGACAATGGCGCCGCTATCCCAGAGGAGTATCTTGGCTGAAAAGAAAAGGTAGGGACGGCGCGCCTGTGTGCCAAAGTGCGATCCTTGGCATCGCAATGAAGATCTTTGGCTGTGCACAGGGGAATTGTGCACATGGCAGATGAAAAAAATCTTCTTGCCAGCCAAATGACTACTACCATGCTCTGCGTCTGCCAACAGGGAGAAAAAGAAAGTTCCGGCAGTTCGATGTCTGTGTATTTGCTGCGCTTGGACATGCTTGGACTCTGTGATTTGCCTCTTTGTTTTGCGATGCATTAGCTTGCCTTCCAGCAATAGATAGAAAGCGCTTCATAAACTTCACATCCCAACAGCAAGAACAAGAACAAGAACAAGAACAAGAACAAGAGCAACAACAACAACAACAACAACAACAGGACTCAACCTCTGCATCCTTTCCAGCCAAATGCTATTCAATGCCCTCTCCCATATCTCATAACCAAATGTAGAGAATGTCCAAACACAGCTGTTCAGAAACTTCACATCTCAGCAGCAACAACAACAGCAACAGGACTCAACCTCTGCATGATCATCCTTTCCAACCAAATGCTATTTCATGCCCTCTCCCATGTCTGACAACCAAACGTAGGGAATGTCCAAATGCTGCCTTCTGCTTCGCAAGGTGAAAAAAGTTCCACTTTTTTGCCTGCTGACCTCTGCAGTGATGCTTGATCTAAAACCAAAAGATATCAATCGATACCACTGTCAGTTGCCTCTCTCAGACTCATCCATTGTGGCCTTGCTCAGATATGAACTCTTGAAACAATATTTCCTGCCATGTGTAACAAAATATCCAATGATGTTTCATGTTGTCTTCTATCGTCACCAGGTTCATAGTTTCCTGGGACGTGCGGATTC